TTCAAATCACAATTAAAAATTGTTTTTTACTGGTTGAAGAATCAAATCTTTTTGTTTTTACTTTTCCGATTTCGATGTAAAAGGTATTTAAATAATATTTCAAATTTTCGTTCCAATATTTAAGGTCTCACTGTATTTGGGGCGACAATTTGCTGAGATTATCATTTAAAACGCCTGATACATATTACGCGGCTGAGCTTATTAGTACATATGTATGCACATGTTCACGTCATTGCAAATACAAACAACAAAAATTTCCCTGATAATTTCAACAAATATGTATTGGAATAGCAAAAATTCAGACTAAGTCTGGGTTATCATAACTGTATATATATATATGTATGCACAAGTAAGAGTATTAAACATTTCTACAGTTGATATTTAAAACATATAAGGGGCGTCTTTGAATGTTGTGTACGTGGCTCGTGGTCGAAACGATTGCGAGATAACAAATGCAAATATGTACATACATACTATACATATGTATGTATGTATGTTCGGAGTATGTAAATATATTTACTTATATGCATTTGGTGAATGATTTTGAAAATATGTTTACTATAAAGACGTTAAGGCAATTTTATTTTATGTATATGTACATACGTACATACAGATGTACATTTGTGAGCTAGGGTGACATTTGCTGCATACAATAAAAAATCGTCAATTTAAACTTGGTTTATTTTATCAATCCAGCTTAAATATTTATTATGATTTCGAAGCCAGTCGTGGGATGGGATATGCTTTTTATAATTTAAAAAATAGTTTCATAAAAAAAATAAAATATTCTAAGCATTGTAATACTTTTTCCGGTAAATACTCTTTAAGAATAATAAACATCTTAAAAAATTTTTTTTTATGAAGTTTTCAAAAATTTCGTCGCGATTTTCAAAATAATTCTATGATTCATGTACTTTGTGTAAAAATAACTAATTATAGTCTTTATTTTTCTTCATTTCTACTGTATCTTTAAAAATTTTTTTTTTTTTTTTTAATTTGAGCACCCGAAAAGTTCATACGTTTAATGATTTTTGTAGAATTTTAATCGACTGGTAGCGTTGAGTGGTATGTACGTTAGGGTGGCAGGAACTGAGATTTGATGGATAAGTACCAGAACGGGCTACTTGGGGCCAATGAACTTTGGAACAAAAAAAAAACTCCTAGAGAAAAGAACATCCACATATGCTACTTTAAGATCTGACTGTAAATGTCGAAGATACGGCGAAAAATTTTAAAAAGACGACGCCCATAAATATTCAGCAAAAAATTAAAATGTTTTTTCAAAATTGCCTCACAAAAATACTTTCGACTCAGGGGTGTACGGCCAAATTTTTTATTCCGGTACGATCTAATATACATACACATTCGTAAAAAAAACAAAAAAAAATACTCTGCTTAGTTTTTAAACCCCCACTCTCGAGTCACTAAGCTCACCAGTGCTTTTAACACATACATATAGCGGCGCATTTTCGGCGTTGTGAGATAAGACTCCAATGGAACTGCTGCGGTTTTAATTTGCAAATATTTGTATGTACATATTTTATAGATTAAATATTTGAAATCATGTAAATATATACTTGGAAAAATATTTCATCATAGTCATACACATAGAATATTGAAATGCTCAGTACTGTTCCTGCCTAATTTGTTGCCGGTAGTTTAAATTTGAACTCACTTATTTTTCTCAGTTGACAGTTAGCTGGAATATAGGGCGTTTAGTAAACACAGGGCATTGCTTGCACGTTTATATGTATGTATGTATCGACATATGGATTCCATTCACACAGTATTCGTAAATTTGTATTCATTGCTAAATGAGCGCCGTTGTAATGTGGCTGTAAGCTCTTTTTTAATTACGCTTCTAAAAATAAATCCACTCGAGTTATATTTAGATGAAGAAGGAAGAATAATTCAATGGAAAAAATTATCGGGAAATGCAAATCTACTTACGTTTTATAAATATACATACCACATATGTACGTACGTATAAATAGTTTACTCATAGACTTGTATGAGGATGGTTCACTTTTCTTAGAGTAAAATTATTCAACCATTTTTCGCACTTGTATTGGAGAGAGAGTAAGAACCAGGATAGTTGCATACACTTCCAGGTACATACATATAAACAAATTTTATTTTTAACTTAAAGAAGGTAAGCATTTGGTATTATTCTGGCAATGCTGGTTTTAAGGATTTATATTTCGAACTCGCAGGAGTATAAATACACATCAAAAAAATTCTTCCGAAAAAAACTTTGCGTTCATTTATTTTTAAGAAATACAAAAACGAAAATCTGGCAAGCCTAATGCTCTCACCGTTCCTAATGTCCGCAAGGGCGTAGCTTAAGAATCTAAAATCTGCTTTTATGCCTCTTCCAGGAGGTCTGCGAATATCGTTATTGAAAGCCGTTTCGATGTAAACAGTTGGACTAAACGGAGAAGGGTGCTAGCTGAGCGAGTTTAAAAGGGTAGGTGAAGAGCCGAAAATACAAATGTTGTTGGTTTGCCCAGCTTGAGTCTGAATAAGTAAGAGTTAAGCCTGCTACTGCATTAAGACTTAATCATCACCAAATCTCTCAAGCCAGCTGAAGATATTCATTTGCGATGGGTAGTAGAGACTTTGTACATTCGTTGATTGTCGCTTATGGCTTGTCGGGTCCAATGATTACGCGATCTTGGCTATGCTCCCAAAGCGTGTCTGTTCGAATATTGCCTGCACCATCAGCCAAGCAGAAATTTTGCTAACTGACGCACAGTGCGGCCGAAAGGCAAAAGTGTGGCCAAAATTGAAAAAAAAGTTTCTAGATAGGGCTTTTTCATCAAAAAATTGGCTAAAGGGATCTTCTAAGAATCGAAAACCGTTCACAGCAACGGCCTGTACCCCAAGTCCCCTCTTTATTTTCAGTCGGAATGTCATCTTCGCCCGAGCGCAACATTATGGCAGATTCAAAATTTTTTTCGAAGTGCAAATCTCAAGGCATTATGTTTTTCATTTCTCATTTTCTTCATATCATCGAACATCTTCCGTATGGAAGAAAATTTGCCAAAAATCAACGGTAGGTTCCAGCTACCTCAAACTTATACTTTGAGACAATAGAATTGAGTGGGCTATAAAACTGCATACTCAGAATCTTTCTTGGAAATCTAATTCAAAAGCTCTAAATTTACCAGACGCCATACTGGATCCGCCATTTTGAATTTTGCAATTCTGACAGCGGATTCGTATATAGAGTTACTGAAAACCCCTAGAACGAAATTCCGAATTATTTATTTAAAGCTTCGAATTTTGGCCGCACTGGTACACCGCATAGCATTTCGTATCTTGAACTTTTTTCAACGGACATTCGTGGGTATGTGCATTAGTGCGGGTCAATTTTTATGGGAGATTTTTTCAACTATGCGCTCATAGCATAGGAGGTTTCTACAAATAACTCTAAGCAAATTTCCAGAAGAAACTATGGGTCTAAAACAATTCGGAGTTTGCGAAGATAAGTTTCTCTTATTTGACAGTTTGCTGTAGTGTTGTAAAGAAGTGCTTAATTTTTGTATAAAAATTGCTACCAGGGGTTTTTGGCAGAGAAATCTATTTCTGGACTTACCTTATACCTAAAACATCCGCCAGAGGGCGCAATAGTGAAAATTTTCACATTTTCTTACGAGATAAAATAAAACGTATATTTAACATTTTCATTCAAACTAAAATTTTTACTACGAGAATTTTAAAACTGTTAAACTTTGCACATTATTATGCTAAAATTGAATGGACTATAAATTTGCAATTTTTAATGAAATTTTGAAGAATTCATCTAATTTTCGTACATTTTTCGGAACCTAGATTTATATGACGTTTGTTAAAATATAAGCCGTATTTTAAAAAAAATTTAACAAGAAACTATTGTGAATATTTAAATAAAAATCACAGGATACTAAATATTGTGAGTGGCTTTAATTAATTTAAAAAAAAAAAAATTTTATTAAAAAAAATATATGTAAAAAATATTTTTTCTTATACATATGTATGTATTATAGAGTACACCACTCCCCATAAAAAAACTCATAGTTATTTCCCATTGGAATCGTTGAATTTACTATATTCTGAAGGTTTGCAATTTTTAATGAAATTTCGTAGAATTCTTCTAATTTTTGTACATTTTTCGGAACCTAGATTTATATGACGTTTGTTAAAATATAAGCCGTATTTTAATAAAAAATTAACAAGAAATTTCGTGAAAACTATTGTGAATATTTAAAAAAAATCACAGGATACTAAATATTGTGAGTGGCTTTAATTAATTTAAAAAAAATTTTATTTAAAAAAAAATATGTAAAAAATATTTTTTCTTATATGTGCACATATGTATTATAGAGTGCACCACTCCCCATAAAAAACTCGTAGTTATTTCTCATTGGAATCGTTGAATTTACTATATTCTGAAGCTTCCGCCAAAATAATTAGGCAAAATACGAAGATTTACGTGAGCTGGACCGATTTAAAAATGCCTTCAAAAATCGATTTTTTTTGTATAAATATAATTTGTTTTTAAAAATATTTTTTCTAAAAAATCACCCCGGATGATAGCAGAGTTTAAGATTAAAGGGTCTGCATAAAAATATTTGAAAATTTTATCAACCGAAACAAAATAATGAAATTTTTTGAGGTATTTTCAAGTGGGTCCAGTTAACGAAAATCTTAATATTTTTCCGAAATATTTTGACGGAAGTAGAATACCCTATGCTATACGCGCATATTAAAAAAAAAATGACCCGCGCTAATGTGCATTCTAGAACTCAGTTAAAACTACTACTCTGACAAAGAAAATGAAAAAGGGAACTTTTTCTACCTCTACGCAAAATCCTATTTATGTATATCTGGTTAAAAATTAGTTTTGGATAGCGACGAGTGTAGATAATTAGATAATTTAATGACAATTACTGATATATAATGACCTACATGAGATATAATGACCTATACAATATCCAAAATAAAACTCATATTTTTCATATAAAAATATTTATTTATCATTAACAATTTATTATCTGTTACAGTTAGTTTCATTTTCCAAAACAAAAGACTTAAGTTACGAACTTCAACACTGCCACAGTGCCATCATAAATCTTCGAATAGATTCAGCAGATCGTCATCGACAAGTAGTGGTACACTAAGTAGAATTTCTTGACGCCAGCCGCCTTGCGCCCTCAACAGTCAACTCTCATGATGCAACACCCGATATTTGAGCATTTTCCATGACAGAATATTCTGGTTGAGCTCCTCACAAAGACGCACAACGCAACCTTTGCAAAAAGAAAACACAAAAACGAAAACAAATAAATAAATAAATAATTATTTCTTTTCTTGTTTGTATGCAAGTATAAACAGGTTTAAATTTTAAAACACTTGCACTTAAAAAACCTAATTAAGTTCAGAGGCATCAGAAGCTTTTTTCAGCTGTTCTTTTTTTTAATCGATCACATGTTGTATGCCAAAAAGCGCGCAATGCACACACAAACAAAAACTCATAACCGACACACTCGAGTAAAGCGAAAGCGTGTCGAAGCAAAAGTCAATTACAATTCAATTTGCAATTAATTCTCTTTCAGACACTAACCCACAAGATATTTTATAACGCGCAGCAAAACCATTGCAAAGAATCTAAATACAAAATGTTTTCGAATCGTAATATTTGCTTTTATTGTTGTAATAATGTTGTATAGCAAATTATGTAACTTTTAACTGCGAAATTGTGCTGCTGCCGAACAAACGCGCCTTTTCTTTATCCGTTTACGTTGTTTACTCGCCAACGATTAGAACGTAATTGAACGCAGAATTGAATTGCATCGTTGATCTTAAACAAAAAATATCCAGCAACAACAACAATATGCAGCGCGTTAGCGTTTGAGCGTTGTTGACTATTTGCTACAGCTGATTGCTGTTGTTGCGTTGCAAGTTTGCTTGCTGTTGGCTGACAGTGGCAGTGGTAACGGTTAGTTGCATTTATTTGCACGTTCGCTTAGAAGATTGTAGGTCGTGGCTTTGTGCAGCTAAGTGTGCATATATGTATGTATGTGTGCATGTGTGTAACTTCGCTGCATGCACAGCGCTTGCATTGAATGCATGTGGTATTCACGGTTGCCACTGTTGGTTGTTTTTCTTTTATTTTTGAAGTGAAACTTCTTGAGCGGCGGTTGGTTGGTTGGGAGTAAATTGGCAAATCCAACGGAAATGATGCAACGGAAATGGTGCAACGGAAATGGTTGGGATGGAAACAAGTACTTCTTGATTGTATGCACGCGGTAAAGAATGATACTTAGAAAAAGACCAGTACAAGAATGAAAGTAAAGGTGGGTAAGTACATAGATAAAGAAAAGGATAAAGACAAAGGCAAAAATAAAAACAAACACAAAGATGCGTAGAGATAAAGGCAAAAATGAAGACCAAGGTAAATTTAAACACTTTACTTATGTATATGAGGGCAAAGATGAAGGGAAATATGTGTTTAGATGAAGAAAATGATAAACATAAAAGTAAAAACAAAGATAAATATAAAGAAAAAGATGAGGATGAGGATACCAATAAAAGTAAAGATGAAGATAGAGGAAAAAAATTAAAATAAAGGCTATTATAGAGAAAAGGATATATGTATATTGAGACACAGAGACTCAATCTGGGAACTAATTTGGGTTTTAGAGATTTTCGGGATTCTCGGGACTTATCGATATAATAATCGATATTTTTATCGGGTTTGCTATCGATATTTTTATCGAATTTTTTTATCAAATTGGTTCCGAAATTGTTTTATCGATATTGTTACCGATTTTGCTAACGATGTTTTCGGAACTTGTCGATACAATAATCGATATTTTTAGCAATTTTGTTATCGATATTTTTATCGATTTGGTAATCGATATTTTAAATGATTTTGTTATCGATGTTGTTTTTGGTTTTTTAACGATATTTTTATCGAATTTGTTATCGATTTTGTTATCGATCATTTATCGGTTTTGTTATCAATTATTTCTCGATTTTGTTATCGATATTTGTATCGATTTTGATATTAACATTTTTATCGATTATGCGATGGATATTTTTGTTTCCGATATTTTTATCGGTTTTGTTATTAATATTTTGTTGGATGTTACTATCGATTTTGTTATCGATTAAGTATAAAGATAAAAATCAAGATAAAGAAAAACAGAATAAATGCAATTAGAACGAACAGGGGTAGAGGTAGGGATCTAGATTGAAAAAAGAGAAAAAATATAACCTTAAGCAAAAGCAAATTTCTATTTTTTAATGTAACATGCTTAATATGCACACATGAAAAGTAAATATGTATGTGATTGAACGCACAAGTATTTCATTTTATTTTGTTTTCCGAAATAGCAGATATAACTTCTTCCAAAATGTAAATTAATGTTGTGTTTCTACAAAATTTTCATTAAAAAACGAGGCCTCAATCTCAATAAAATTGTCAAATTTTTGTTTNCGCGATCCAGAAAATTCTTCTATCATTCTTGCCACAAATGTATGTTTTCTTCGAAAATACTCAAGTACTACCAGTAGAGTACTCTACTGTCAAATACCTTTTACTCGCAGTAGTTGCGGAAGGCAAAGTAAATACTCTACGCGTGTTGCTATTGATCGGTAGTTTACGTACGCTTGCTGAAACTGGTTTATGCTTACTCATACTTGACCCGAACGATGAAAGTAGGGGATGGAAAGTATTTGCGCGGCGATCGGATGTCTTGTTGGGCCGTTTAAATGGAATTGCGCTGGAGTCTAATACATACATATATAAGTGGATAACAAATTTGCTTGTTTTTTTTTCAATTTGGCTGTTTTTTCCACAGATTTTGGTTGGTTATTTTTATAGCAAGTGGCAACCGTGCATGTACTCACACACATACATATTTAGTGGATATGTATTTATATTTTACATATCATTGCATATTTGTTGACTGCTAACTGCGAACGTGGCCATGTTCTATGCTTCTTTGAGTAGTCGAGTGCTCATGAAGGCCTGAAACGTGGCAGAGAGCGCGCTAAATATTTACAAATTTACATGGTAAGCACTTAGAACTTTTTTATATTAATTACGCAATATGTGTGATGCAGTTTTTTGAGATATCAAAATTTACTATATATATGTATAGAGAAATAATTAATGACTATAATTGAAAATTACCAAATGCGGTCGCAGCTGGAAAATTTTGATAGCGTAAGTTTTTTTTAAGAATTAACAAATTCAGTTTTATAGATATTTCGCACTAGCTTAAAGATTAAATTATCATATTTGTAATAATGTGGTTATTATAAAGCTATATGATGAAATGAATAATTTATGAATCGGTCAATATAATTTACAGTTCAACAGAGCTCCTTTAAACAAACTGATCAACATCAAAATTTTCATATCGAAAAAATGCTGACTAATTGCCTTTGGGAATTCTTCTTCTTCTTCACTAAAACTGATTGTCAGTTTGGGCTCTGACCAAAAAGCTTCTCCAATTGCCTCTCTCGTTTGTGTATTTGCGCCAATTGTTCATTCCAAGTGTGGACAGTACATTCTGCACTTGGTCCTTCCATTGTGTCTGAGTAGGTGTGGAGTCGAAGGATTGTTCGACTCGCCTTACTGCTGTTCCGGTCGGTCAATTACCTTGTATATTACCAGAAATGTTTACTTGCCTTTGCAACAGGTGCTGCCGGCTCGCGAGTTGAGGACCTTGTTGCGGCTCTGTACTCTATTGACAATTGCGGCGATTGTATGCGCCGAGAAGGACAGCAGAATTTATAAGGTAACTCTGAGAATTTTTGGGGTTTTCAACGTCGGAATTGGTTTACCATCGACGTGAATTACCAGCTGTAGTCTGACCTCCTTCGTCAAGGTGGTAAAAAGGCTTGCCAAGGATTTTGTAGAAGAGAGTTTGTGCCTCCTTATAGTGAAGAAGCGAGGAAGCTCGGAGCGTTAACCGTTTACTTTCGAGCCTAAGTCATCAATTCCATTCCCGGACGCCATTATCAAGCAGTCATCGGCATACAAGACAAAAGAGACTCGCTCTGGTGGTTGAGGGAGCTTTAAAATTCGATCATTAAACAGCAGCGGGGAAAGGCCAACAGCCTGTGGAAGCTCCTGTTTAATTTTCCTTGGTTTGCTAGTTTTGTCTCAGAAAATTACTGACCACCGTTTGAGTACCTGTGGGAAAGAAGAAGCCTCAATGTCTTCTAGTTGCGGTATCAAACACTTTTGACAGCTAAAAAACATCCAGCGCTTTTCTCTCACAGGGGCGCTTACGCTTCAGGCCACGAGTTAGCTTAGTGTTTATAGCCTTAAATGCTGTTATTGTGCTGTGCATTTTGTGGAATCTATGCTGTTGCCTCGCTGGCATCAGGTGGTTCGTGTGTTCACATAATAAATTATTTTCGATAACAACAAAACTTATTGATTAATTATGATGTTCGCCTACGTGTTGCGCCAATGGCTTGGATTCTTTACTTAACTTAAGTTAACTAATATGCAAAAGCTCAAAGTGCTTAGAACTTGTTTGCGGTTGGCATGCTAATGTGTAATTCGTATAGCTGCAGCTGCTGCAACTTATTTTGCGATTACACAATTCGGGTCACTTTGCCACAATTTTTAAAATTTTATTTACCAATTTTTATTTCAGCAATTTTTTAAGTAAGTACCCTAAAAAGTTTAAACAAAAAATAAATTTTCTGTTATCCAAATTCGGCTAATTAATTTAGTCATTGCTTGCTGCGAATGTAGCGTGCTCTGCTGGTTAAAGAAAAACGAACCGCTCACTGCTTCATACAAAGAGAGACATACAATTTTCCGCCCGATCGCTATGTTGTGCTGTGTTGTGCTGTGTTGTGTTGTAGGCGCTTGCAACATTTCAGTAATTGCCGCCGCTCAACCTTCAGCGGTCACCAACGATACACACACCCAAGTGGCAGTGTGTTGGTGATCGTGAATTTGAACAACTTGGCGCAGGCTACTTGCCATTTAATTACATACATACAGCCATGCACATAAAGTGGCAAAAGTATACTTCCATGTCTGTTGCTAAGAAATTTTCTTGTAAACTTGTAAAAAATTTTCTAGACAAATACTCACTTTACTGTTAGTTATCGAGTTAGTTTGTTGACTTTTGCGAGTAAACAGTTGGATTCGATTGATTGAGGCTAGTTATTGCGAGAGGATTGGCTGTTCATGTTAGACGTCTTGCGCAATTTGGTAGCAATAAACTTCAAGTTGGCCATTTTTGGCAATTTTCATGTTAATTTTCAAAGTTTCCATTCCTTTTGCGCTAGCACTCAAATATGAATACATACTTATTTACACACACAAACTCGTTCGTGTTTTGTAGAAAACTCAGTTGTCGTAGACATAAGATATTTCGATTATGCAATACTAGTTGCAACCAATCGAGTCGTTTACCTTCACGCAGTCACACATTTGATTTTTTTTTTATTTGGTTACTTTGTCGTTTTGTCTTCATTGCTATTGGCGAGCAAAAGTTTTGGTTCAATTGGTTCTACCATTGCAAGCACACTGGGGTGGTCCAAAAAGAAAATATAATTTGTCGTTTGGTTTTTGATTGCTGTTGGCGAGCAAATGTTTTGGTTTAGTTGGTTTTATTGTTGCAAGCACACTAGGGTGGTCCAAAAATGCATGTGAAAATGTAATGTCGGAATTTTAGTGCTCTCACCCCCTAGGATTGTTCAGCTTTAGGCGGTGAGAGCTCTAAAATTCCGACTGAGCTTTGGTTTGGACCACCCTAATGCACACACATTACTAAATATGTACCATAAGTACGTATGTAGTTTGATGTGTGCCAATTGCTTAATAGAATTATGCGGTTTTGGAAAAAGTTTCGCTATTATCGTCAACTTTTTATTGCAGCGATTAGCGGCAGTTAAAGTTTAACTATCCAAATTTAGGAAATAATCGCTTAAACTACATACAATATTTTTA